AAAAAAAAATCAAAAGTTCTCTTTTATTTCAACTTTCATGTTTAAGCAGTTTAGTCTAAAAGTTTCAAATCTTTTCAAATCAGTCCTTTATTTTTATTTTAATCAAATCAGTCCATTTAATTCTTATTTGTGCTTATTGTGCATACATGTCTTTTATTTTGTCCATTTTAGTCCAAAATTAAAAAAAATGTTTCAATTTAGTTTATCCTTTTTAAGTTGCCCTATTAAGACTTAAACATAAAGATAGTAAATAAGTTGAATTAAAACCCCAATGTTAAAGTATGCAACTGTATTTCAACGGAGAATTGTGAGATACGCGTATGCCCTTTCTCACTCTTAACCGAACCCCCAAATCTCGATCTCTGCGCAAACCCGTTTTAGGTAACTTGTCCCACCTTATAATTTGGACGAGTGGCGACTCCCCTTTTCTTTTATATTTTTCACACTTAATAATGATAAATCTTGATTTTCAATTTATTTTTGAAAAAAATCTTAAGTGGTCGTTAATAGTAGTCCTTGCATTTTTTAACCTAAACGACATCACAACCCATTTATACGTACCTATGTTTCCAGGGTAGTGAAATGTCATTTTAAATATGTCATCCTTTGTAACAAAGATCTTATCATCGCCACTAAGCTTATCCGTAAAAGACAAAATGCGGTGGCATGCAACTCCATCAACAAGTAAATTTGCTATTGGCATGGGGTATTCATCATTTCGTATAGCTAGATTTAAATTCCAAAAATCAATGCAGACTTTAAGCTTTCCATTCTTCTTCACAATTAGAACAATATTAGACAACCATTCTTAGTACTTGGTTGTCCATATGAAATCAACTTTGTGTAGCCACTCCACCTCTTCCTTCACCTTCAAAATGACCTCTGGAGACATATAGTGTTGCAACTATTTGTATGTCTTATATCCTTCACTGAATGGTAATTTATGTTCTACTAGCTTTCGACCTAAAATTGCCATTTCCAAATAATCCCACACAAAGCAATCTTTGAATTCATGCAGTAAGTGGATTATTTTATCTTGTAGCTTTGGTGGAAGCAAGCCACTGATAAAAGTAATGCATGGCTCTACCTCCATTCCCAAATTAACTTCCTTTAATGGATCTTGTACATCGGCCCTAAGGTCATCCAACTTCGCAGGGGCCAAATCTAACTCCTCCATAGTGACTTCGTCAATATGGGTGTCTTCCTCACCTTCATGTACCATTTCCAATAAATTTGCTTCTGTATTACTTTCAGCAAATAGGTCTCTAACTTGTTGAAGATTTTGGATACAACTTCCCTTTTTTCTTTATTTATCTTGAACTTTTTCATAACAACTTTTCAATTTTGGGTTTCGCTTGTGGCCTGTATGGAATAATGGTAGTAGGCTGCAAGAGTTCATTACATACCTCATCAACCACATGTTTAGCTAAAGTAAGATTGTTACAAGTAGTAATTCTACTAGGTCTTCCTGGTCTATCCATGCTAAAGAAACAAATTGTTCCTACATCTTCATCATAGTATCGTCCTTCCACCATATTGGAATTAGCTAGGAACGGTCTATTGTTAGTATGAACCACCTCAGTTTTGCCTCTGTTCCAAAAATTGAGACTTTAATGAAGAGTAAATGGAACACACCAATTAGAATGGATCTAATTATGTCCCAACAATGCATTATAAGTTGCAGAAGAATACACAACAAAGAAAGCACTCATTAATGTCTTAATACCAATAGTGAGTGCAACCAGCAACACTTCCTTCAATTTGCTAACACCACTGTTAAATCACTAACATTTACATTAGTATAAACCAAGTCCTCAAAATTTTCACCTAGATTCCTTCGCATAAAAGAAGGTATAACGTTGACTACAGCTCCATTGTCAACAATGACTTGATTCACTGACACTCCATAATGTGAGTTGAAATGTAAAGTGGCTTTACATGCGACCCACATTTTCATCTAGTTTGCTAAAAGTAATCTGTTTTGAGAGGGTATTATGCTCTACCTCTTTTTCTAGGGTTGGAAGTCTATCACTTATTCCTCAACAATCATGCTACCATTGGAAGCATAGCTAAAAACATGAGTATCCTTGTTGCCTTTGGCTTAAAATGCCAAAGGAAGTGTGAGAACCAAACAAGAGAGATTCACAAAAAGATCTTCGATCTGAACAACATCCATGTCTTCAAGAAGATCATCATCACTAGTCAACTATTCTTACTAATTTGCCTCAAAGGTTGCCTTCAACTCTTTTTCATTGGCAATCAATGAGGTGAGTTTATGAGGTGGCATAACTGGCTGAGATTCATTCTGGACAACAACCTTCTAACTCTCCTTTCTCCTTCACACCATCTTTCCCTTTGCACGAGAATGTTGTGGAACCTTAATTTCCTCAATAGCTCACTGCTGGCAATGATGTGCCTCTGCTTGCTTCAACTACAACCTTTTAATCAAGGTTATAGGATTTTTCTTAGGTTCTTTTAAAAGCTTGGGATGCACAACCTTCTCCCACCTCTTACTTAGAGGTCATTATGGAAGCTTGACCATATGAGAGTGATCTATATGTCGTGCTTCCTTTACCCTAGATTTAGAGGCAAGGTTTTGGCAATATGGCGTTGCCCCATGAGCCTTTGATTTTGTTAGGCAAGATGTTCCCATTCCTTCTCAATCACCCAACGAATGTCATCTGCATCCAAATTTCATCCTTTATATGTCTTTCGAGATATGGTTCTTATGTCAACAATATTGACTCCAACATCCATGTTTGGAAAAGGATTCTCATTAACCCCCATGGCTTCTTTGGGTTTTTCAAGGAAACAAAGCAACCCATTGCCAATCTTATCTTATAACACATCTCAAAAAATAACAGTCATTAATAAAATGTTTCCATAAATTATGAAACTTGCAATAATCTTTTGACGTAATTTCAGCAATCATTGGGAGCCTATGGCCCTGTGGCAGCTTAATATGTCCAGACTTTTTCAAATAATCAATATTTCACTCACTTTAGTTACATCAAATGTGTATTTGTCTCCCAGATTCATACAAGTGGCATTTTGTAGCCACCTCAACCTGTTAAGTGCCTTTCACCAAATTAGGACAAGTTATTGGCTTATTTGCAAAGACTTCGGCAACATAAAGGTCAAAAGTATCCTAATAATAAGTTACTTGAAATGCAGCCTTCTTTTAGGATCCCTCCCTTAAGAGATTCTCATAACGAGCCTTCTTATAAGAGAGTTCAAAGAAGTCTCTGAATTCCATCCCCTCAAACTTGTTTTGAAGTTTAATGTCTAAACGATTCTAAGCAAGCTTCAAGAACTCTTGCTCTTGGTAAGGCAACATGACATTTCATCTTGGCCTTCCTAAATGCATGAGATAATTTTCTAAAGATTCCCTTAATCGTTGAGTAAATCTAAAGAGATTAGCCATGGATATCTCTGGCCCTGGGTGGTAAAATTGAAAGTGGAACAAATCTTCCATTTGTCTCAAGTAAACACAGAATTTTGCGATATACTTAGATACTACATTAGTGCAGTACCAGTTAAAGAACTGAGAAAGAGCCTCAACTTTAGAAAATCATCACCTGATGTTTCCCCACACTGAACGGTGAACCTACCAATGTATTTAATGGTTTACTAACTTGCATCCCCAGAAAACAAAGTAAATGTAGGCACATTGAATCCATAAGGAAATGAATTATCCCAATCTATGTAGTCCAAAAATGGATTGAAGTAGGAAGGACAAACTAATGGTCTTAGAGCTAGACCATATGTCTTTTGAACTAGTTCAATCAGTTGATTTCTGTCTGTAGAAAGGGGTGCTGTGATGAGTTTAATTTTTAAACATTTATCTACCCTTCTTTTTAGCTTGAAAATTAATTTTATGAGTATTTTATAACTTAGTCTCACCTAAAGTTGCATTAATCTCAGTATTTTGTAGGTGATGATTAAAGAATAAATTTAATAGAAATTAATTTTTCAATAAATGACAGTTTACACATGCCATAGTAATTTAACCATAACTTTCTCTCCAACTATCGGATTGAGGTGATTCTTGAGACATTAGATAGCTAAGAAGTAGAGCTACAATTTATCTTACATGAGCTCAACCCAGTTCAATCAGTTTCAAGATAGATTTCTAGTTTAAATGCATGGGTTTGATAGAAGAAGGCTGAGTAAATTGCAAGAGGAAAAAAGAGAACTAGGCTATTTTCAAGTTATAGGCTAGTAGTATACTTGGCCCAAAAGTTTCAAAAGCCCGTAGAATATGGGCTAGAAAGATAAAAGAAATAATTAGGCAATATTATATATATAAACATCTCTGCGCAAGAGAAGAAGAGATGACACCACCACCCAGATTTGTTTGGAAAACTATAGAAAGACGCAGCCAGCCTCTGTTTTCTCTTCCTTTCTTTGGTGTTGCTTCTCAAAATTGAAACAAGAGGGTCACTTCCCCAAGATTGAGCCGCCTTTGTTTTCCTTTTCTTCTCTGATGTTGCTTCACAAAAAACTGCAGAGGGGGACGATGCAAATGCAATAGCCTTTGTGTTTTCTTCTCTTCTTTGCTAGCCTTGCTTGGGAAATTGCATAGTAGCACACCAATGAGGATGAAGTGTAGTTTGGCTTTGCTCTTCATTGGGATGGGTTTTGTTCATTCTTAATTTGATTTTTAAAATGATTCTTTATTGGTTTTTCTTATTCATGGCAGTTGAGAACCTAATTATGTGTACTTAAATTTGTTGAACTAGGGTTAGATGGATTTTAATTTTTGGATTAGGTGACTTTTTTTTTAATTTAATTCAAAATTTATTGGTTATTTGCATGATGATT